ATTTTCAAAATCTCTGACAAACGTCCTTAACGAAGAAAGAGCGACGAATTTAAAATTTATTAGTGATTGGAAAATTAAGACCAGTCTTAATTAGTTCGACCATCGGGGCATTCGATTTGAAAAATCAGGACGTGTTGTCCTTAGGATTTAATGTACAGAATTGGTTCCTGAGATTGAGTTCCACGGTACGTCGAGGAGTTCCATAGAACGTTGGATTTCCTGTACCAAATCCTACGGAATAAAAACGTTCAGGAGATTCACGAGTTCGGTACATTATGTTTCAGAACTTTCGAATCGTTTTTATTACACCGTATGAGTTCCCTCGTGTGCACATCGCATTTTATATGTTATGAATCTTTTATAACAGCTCCCATGGGTTTCGTACTGTCTATGGATCCGATTCATAAACACAGTGAATCGTTCGACTTCCTTTCATTCACGACTCAACGTTTCACTGATATCGTTTCCCACCGCCTAAAATTTAGCTCATTTTTCGAAATTTTTTTTAAGAAATTCTATGGAATTTTTTTAAACTTTGCGTTCTCATTAAGATTGGGTATCAATTATTATATTATATTTTATTTATATATATAATATAAAATATTTTCTGACACTTCTTCTGGGACACCTTTTATATTATAATATTAGAGAAAGGGGTGATTCTTTAGGTGTTTTTGAGCAACAATTTCCTTACCCAAATGCAAAGTGAGGCACAGTTTTTGAATTATTAACGAAAAACGCTGGCCAATGAGAGCCCGCGTAGATTCCCCCACGCTGAGCCACAGCCGACCGTTACAACCCGAGCGAATACTCCATTGGCTGAGCGCGGGCCTACGCGTGCTCTCATTGGTCAGTGTTTTTCGTTAATAATTCAAAAACCATAAGTCATTTTGAATTTTGCCAAAGGAAATTGTTGTTCAGAAACACCTAAAGAATGACCTCTCTTCGATTCTAATACTTTTCCTGGGACACTCTGTATAATTATATTTCCTATAAATTAGGTAATTACTCTTCTATTTATATTATTTGAAGCAATAAGCAGATTTTATGAATTGGTAAAAAAATTTGAACGAATTTGAGAAGAACCGATATTCGTTTGTTATCTCGGCCGCGTTAATTGCTTTTTTTTTCAACGCCTGCAAGTCGCAGTCAATAAATATCGACGGGACACTACCGTTGTGTATAAATTTCATTGAAATCCATTTAAACAAAAGTGAATCATTTCACATGGACGGAAAATAAATCGGTGGCAATAGACATCGCGGCACTTGTTGCTAGTAAAAGGCATTTAATAAACGTTTTTTATATTCCCACTTCGGTAAGGAAACGTTTCCCCGCTCAATTTATCGATTATTCGTACACATAATTAATTCACATATTAATGAACTATTGATTGAATACAAGCATTCATGAATTTTCATCAATACGTACCAGAATTCTGTTTTTATTAGTCAGAGTTCCATTCTTTTATTTTGTACAATAATTTATGATAGTAGAAATAGTGGGACAGGGTGGGTGAGGGTTAAAATGGAGAGAAACAGCAGGGAAAAAGACACGTAAAGGGATAGTATAAAACATAATGTAAAAAAAGGAGGTCCAAAATGTGTGAGAAGGAACGATAGAGAGAAATATAATAGTAATTTTTATTTTGAGTGTTCAGATGGTTTCTGGATTTTTCAATAATTTCATTACTGCATTTTAAACTTGTAAGTGGGATTCCTTGGCTGCGAAGCTTT